ATTTCCTACATATTCTATATAATTCATTAGGTAGTAAATAGTGTAGATCTATACACTCAAATGTGGTGTCCAGACTAGCAATGTCAGCATCACCTGGGAACTTATTAGACATGCAGACCTGGGAACTTATTAGACATGCAGATTCTCAGGCTCCCCTGGAGACTTACTGAATCAGAGGCTCTGGGGTGAGACCCAGCCATGTGTGTTTTAAGACCACTAGGTAATTCGAACGCTTCCTGAATGTAGAGAACTAGTGACATAGAGGTGAGAAGCACAGACTCCAGACTCAAAGAGACAGAGTCAGTTTGCCAAGGCGCCCCTCCATGTATTAACTTTATGAATCTGTGTGAATTACTATCTAGTCTCACTAACCTTAGTTTCCTCATTTAGAAAACGAGGAACGTAAAGAGAAAGGTTAAATAGATTACCACCTGTAATTGCTTTGATAAGTGTCTGGTCCCTTTTAAATATCCCCATCTCAAATAAAAGCTATCAAGGATATAATGACCATGGCCTGCAGCACTGCCCAGTGTGTCTGTCATCACAAATCCTGAGGCCACCACATCCTTCACCAGGGTTCTTTTCCACATAATATGAGAGTGATAGTATCTAAGGCCCTTATACCTTGTCCTGAAAAGTTGTCTTGTCAGGACAAATTTAAATATGGATTTAAAAGTATTTTAATGAGAATTATTATTCAACTTTTCTATGTTGTCCTTACAGGTCAGGCAAATCTTTCTTCCTTTTGGAATCTTGCTAATTTGGAATTTATTTATTTATTTATTTATTTGTTTGTTTATTTCAGTTACAGTTGACATTCATTATTATTTCACATTAGTTTCAGGTGTACAGCATAGTAGTTAGATATTTATATGATTTATGCAGTGATCTCCCCGATTAGTCTAGTACCTACCTGGCACTATGCATAGTTGTTGCAACATTATTGGCTATATTCTCTAGGCTGCACTCCACATCCCAGTGACTATTTTGGAACTGCCCATTTGTATTTCTTAACCCCTTCATCTCTTTTCACCCGGCTCCCCAACACCTCTCTCCTCCAGCAACTATCAGTTTGTCCTCTGTATCTATAAGTCTGTTTCTGTTGTGTTTATTTTGTTCTTTAGATTCCACACACAATTGAGATCATATGGTATTTGTCTTTCTCTGTCTGACTTATTTCACTTAGCAAAATACCCTCTAGGTCCACCTATGTTGCTGCAAATGGTTAAGATTTCATTCATTTTGTGGCTGAGTAATATTCCATTGTATATATGCGCCACCTCTTCTTTATTTAATCGTCTATTGATGGATTTTCTTTTCTATTCTGAGTTTACATTCCGAGTTTACCTTAGGGATACTGAAGACTTTACATGTTTCCTTTAAACAGTACCTTTTGGGTGAGGCATCTAATCCTAAGCAAGGTATGTGTCTGTGACCAGGCTTTTACATGGTTTTGCCTCACTAACAATGTAAAAAAGACAATGGCTTATGGCAAAAAGAGTTTTTTGGTTTATTTTATGACCCGTGTTACGTGTTACAAGTCAGCTTTGACTAAACTGTCACTTGGCTCTAAGTGTCTCCCTCTTCCCACTGCCCAGAAGAAGAAATGGCCCAATCTGAGCCTCACCCAAGATGAAGCCACAGGTCGCATGGCTTTGTTCAGGTGTGGAATGAGTCACTGAGGCCCACACTCCATTGGCCAAAGCAGTCACAGGATCATATCTTACACAAAAGGGTGAAAACAACCTCTCCCCACCCCTCCACCCCACCACACACACAGGGACAGCCCCAGGGAGGGACTTTTTATGGATGAACCCAGCTGAGAGTGGCAGCCAATACCTGGAAGCAGCAATCAGCCTCAAGAACAAAAATTACCACAACTCTACCAATTAGGTTCCAAGTTCGTATCTTCAAAACATTGGTCATTGGGACAGAGGAACCTAGATGGCTAATTTGCCATAATTGCAACTGGTGCTTCTCCCCAGATCCTTACAATTTTTCTGGAGAAGAGTTACCCATTCCACAGGCTCCCAGGAGCTGCCGTTCCTCCCAGCCAGCCTTAGCTGTCCATGACCGGAGGGAAAAAGTGGGTGTGTGGTCATTTTCCCAGCAGATAAGAACCAAAGGGCTACCCTTTGGAATCTGCTGAGAGTCAGCTGTGGACGCCTCATTCTTTTGCAATGAACATGCTCATTTCTGAGGCCACCTGCGCCAAGCCATCCATGTCCTCAGTTGACATGGGTGAAGTCAAGAAGTGGCTTAAGAACAGCCAGCCCGGCCACTGAAGCAAGTCCTAGACTGCTTTGAAGAGCGGGAAGGAACAGGGCATGAGGCCAAAACCAAAGGTCTCAGTGCATGAGCTTGTGCGGCCACAGTCACAGGATCCAGAGAAAGGATAGCTAAGCCTCACTGATTTTATTTTCAATGATTTTTTAAACCTTTTGAGTTCAGTGAACCCCAAGTACATTCTCGTCAAGCATTTCTTTCTCTACTTAATATTAAACCTGTGTGTCCTTAAAGTGAAATTTAATCCAGGTATTTTGGATTCACAGCAAAGAAAGAGATCATCAAAAAATGGTTTTGTCAGAAATGTTTGACATCCACGAAAGCTTTCTAAGCAACTTTTTTTTTTTACAAACAGGAAGTTGTTTCACTAGAGCTTTAAAGTCAAATCCCCTCAAATTTTAATGTTAGTTTGGAAATCCAAGGTTATGGTTTGATGTGGATTTCATTCTTCCATCTCTCACCACCTTGTCTGTAGATACATAGAATGAGGCCTGATTGAGAAACACCAGGTTTGGGGAATTGCTGCCTCCCCCACTTTTTTCTTAGTTAATTTTCCGCAGGTACAAATACTCTTGTTAGCCCACCACGGAACACAGAATGAAGTTGTTCCCAGAAGAGACAAATTGAAAACTTCCAAAATTTGACTCAACGGAGTCCTAGGGTTTTAGAAGGTCTCCATGTTGTACTAAATAGGAGAAAAAAATAATTCTTTAATGCTTTAAAAAATTAATACATTGGCCCACTGGGTAGGTGGCATTCATCTGTAAGGATGGTGTAGATTAGACATTCTGAAAACGAATAAACCGAAGTTTTCAATGCTTGTGTGCAATTTTAGAATACTAAGAAAAAGTGAGAGGTGAAGGGTCTTCATAAAGGGGGGTAAAGCTGTTGATGCCATTCAATCTGTGTATCATAGCATGGTGGTTCTCAATGTGTGTTCCTGGAGCAGCAGCACCACCTGGGAGCTTGCCAGACATGCAAATTCTTGGGCTCCACCCCAAACCTACTGAATCAGAAAGTCTCCGAGCCTTCTGGGTGGCTCTGATGCAGCTCAAGCCTGAGCACCTTTGTCAGGGTGGTGGACAGCGTGGACATTGGAGCTGCACAGGGGCACTGCTGTCACATGCCAGCCATTGGGAATTTGGGTGAGTCACTTACACTCTCTGTGCCTCAATTCCCTCCTCATAGGGAATGCCTCACAGGACTGGTGTGAGGGTTAATTAAGTTGTCACATGGAAAACACTTAGAACAGTGGCTGGCACATGGTACTGAATATGCCAGCAATCATAATAAAGTTTCAGATCAATAATAACAATTGACCTGTTACTGACCTGGGACTTTGTTATTATTATTATTATTATTATTATTATTATTATTATTATTAATCTGGAATTTTATTGTGATTACTTATGTGAATATTTATTTTATTATTTTGCTATTGCCATTGTTATTATCTACCTGCATGTTTCCCACTTTGGACCACTTCTGGCTCTATTCTGACTCTATTCATGCTTGTTATTTGCATATGTATTTCTTCTAATTGGTCAGTGGCTTTCTTGGCCGTTTACAGGTTGATTTTCCCCTGCCAAGACAGTGTGTCCCAGCTCACTGTACGTGATCTCTGCTCATCCATTCTTATAAAAGCCCTTTTCTTTGACAGCATTTGTTTCCCCCCTCAGAATGATGATGGGAACTCGCTTTCCATTTTTTCCATTCCCACTGTTTTGTCCCCAACGCTGGAAGGGTAGTTCTTCATATAGCTACGTACCTTTTTCAAATGTGCCTGCTCTTTATTTCTGTTTCAAAAATGTGGCTTTCTTTTCTGTATCTTCAGAAAACAATACTGTACCTCGTAATTATTAAATGTCTTCATGCCACGTCTATTTTGTTGGCTTAAAGTAAGAGAGAGTAATACTGACCTCTCCACTCAATAATTTCAAGGACTTCAATAAAGCTATAGCAATTCTAAATATTACAATCCCAACCCACATGTTGGAACAATATAATGAAAACTAGAGAAATAAATAGAATTTTCCAGAGACTAAGGAAACCTACTAATGGTTTGTATGAAATATTGCTTATTTGTGGGTTAAGGAGAGGGGAAATTAGAAGGGAATATCTTTTCTCATTCTTCTATCCTTCGCTTTTGGGAAACTGTTATTGCTCCTTAACAATTTAGAGGTGAAGCCAGCTAGATTGCAGAATCACTAAGAAAAAGGAAACAAAACAAAAAACAAAAAAAACACAAAATTAAGGCAGTAACATAAAATTATATGAAATAAGAGTGTGTATCAACAATGAAGCAAATATCATCAAAGAAGTGTGCTGAGGAATAAAATACTATAAATTAAGAGCACATAATGAAGGGTAAATGATAAAGCAAGCATCCAAGTAAGATTGATGCTGGGTCCTCACAGAACTCTGACAACGAGGTTGTTTGCCAGACATACTAACACAGTGAGAGAATCGAGTGTGTAAGAGGCTATACAGGTTGACAAATGGGTTACTTAAACGATAAAAAGTAATTATTGTAATTATTTACAATAATTGGTGGATCAGAAAAGAACTCTGAAGTGTATGTATGCTTCTTTGTGTAAGACAGATAAAAAAGTGTGTGTGTGTGTGTGTGTGTGTGTGTGTGTGTGTGTGTGTGTAACTTCCAAAGAAGTATTTCAGAAAAGGAGAATGTAAAAGAACCGCTTGCATGTAGAACAGATTGCATTAAACTTTGGAAGTTTAAGGTTTAAGAACCCTGAGCTAGCTTCTAAAGACTTTGGACCTTGTTTTTTTGTGGCATGGACCACCAGTTTAATGAAGGCAAGTCACTCCAACCTCCCAGGCCTCAGTCTTCTCGTTTGAAAAATGTGTGTCAAATGTGCTGGCTTTGACAATCTTTTCAACGCTAATGTTCTATGACTCAACAATAATAATGCATTTCCACAGGCGGTAAAAATATTCTAGACTCTTCCCTTCCAGCTCTCGCTGTTTACTTCCTCTATACTTCCCCTTCCTGCCTCCCTGGCTGCCGCTCAGTGGATAGTGGGCCTCAATGGGGGTGAGTTAACCCTCTTCCCAGGGTGTTTTACTATGGCGCTCCCTCCAGAGGGTGGGAATTCTATAGTGAGGGCTGTGATTGAGGCTTCAATTTAATTCTTCAAACCCTCCTTGAGCCTTTAATCTGGCGCCGTGCCAGATTACCAGGGATTACGAGGTGAATGCTAGGGCCCTCGCCCTTGGGGAATTGTTAAAGGTCAGTTTCGCTGCGTCAGTTTCTTTGTAAACACCTGTGAACCACATGTGTCCCTCTTTCTTTCAGGCAGGAGCAGAATCCCATGGTAGCCAGGTGGGTGACGGGGAGCGAGGACTTTCCACCTGCCTTGAAGAAGACGGCGCTGACCTGCTGCGTAAGCGACCAGGTAGTAAACGGAGCTGAGGCTGTAGGGTGTTGAGAGGGAGGGAGAAGGCGTTTACCCTCAGAGTGCTGTCCCCCAGCTGCTCTTTTCCACAGGGAGATGCTGAACCTAAGACCTGCCCAGAGGCTGTAGGTCTTAGTTTTCCATTTATAACCACCAACCTCTGAAAGGAGGTGCTATTGGTGTCATTAACTGGATGTGCAGAAATACAGTAAAGGAGCTTTCAGCAGAAGGAGGAAAAAGATCCAGCTCATCCCAAGCCTGGCCCATTGCCCCCTTGAGAGAGGTTAAAACAGAAGCTTCATGGCACTGCCTTCCCATAAACAAGGCCAAGTTTTCCAGAATCTGGAGGACAGCTAAGCGTGTAGCTTTGCTCGTGCCCGCAGGGCACTGGTGTATCACTCACGCTTGAAAACTTAAGCCTCTGTTTTTATTGCAGTGGATTGAATGGCATGCACTCTCTTTTAGCAGTTTCTTAAAAAAAAAAAAAAGAAAAATTGTGCGTGCAGTTACTTGTCTTTTGTCCTAAGCAGCGCTCATGTTCTGGGCTTGACTGTGCACTTGGGCATGCCAGCATGGCATTGTTTCCAAACGTTCCTCTTGGTCGCTTTTCTCTTGGTCCCGCAGAAGTCCAGCTGAGGGTCTGATGAAACCATGTTCAGCCTGCACTTTTCTGTCAAATTGATTCCAATAGAAGCAGAACAGGCTTCAATGAGTAAAATAAATTCTGAATAACTTATGGCCCTTCTTTGCAATGAAAAAGTGGCTTTTCAAGGGGGGTGGGGAGGGGACTCATTTCAAGGCACATGAAATAAATGACACACTTTTGATAATGTAACAGGAAAATTAAAGAGCCCTCCACATCCACTGCATCCTCAAGCGTTAGCCATGATGGCTACAGCTTTGCTTTCCTTCAAGGGATTTGCCCAGAGGGCTATTTTCAAAACTTCTATTGAGATAATGCTACTCTCACAGCAAAGACTATTTATTGCATGAATCACAGGCCACTGCATACCAGTTCCTTTTTACAGAGGGGATTTGTTTTTATTCTTAAAATTCCAGTGAAGTGGGAAAACACATGCCAACCAGGTAGAGTTTCTCCTAACCACTCACATTATCTTTTTTGAGGAATGTAGGGTAAATTATCTCAGTCACCAGACAGGTGTGTAAGATGCTGTGTGACCTCACACCCAGTTTGTTCCTGTCTGTCAACGCGGGGCTCAGTGTTGGGTGGGAGCCTGGCGCTCCTTCCAGGTAGGTCTGTTCTGCTCCGCTGCTGGGTGCCTGTACTTATTTACTTGTTCATTTAAAATAAATTCCTCTGCTGGTTCTACTTAGTTCTAAAGAAGTAAGGCAGAATTTTTGTGCCATGCCTGAATGTCACACCCAAAATAGTATATTGATAGCACTTCTAAGAGTAACCAGCATGTTATTCTTAGTGATAATTAATATAGTGATAATTAATAAAGCAAAATTATTCACTATGTGTTTGCTTTGAGTTTTTAATAACTTAGAAGTGCTAAGTTATTAACTTCAATATAATGGAGATTGGGAGAGGTCATGGATTCTAAATTACTTATTGGATTAGCAAAAATAAATTGCTCATATAGGGACTTTCATGCAAAAGTGTAAGTTTTCAAAAATTGTATTAATACTACCCAAATTTTTAAACTTTGTGTTAGTATTTTCCATTGCTATATCAAGAACTACCTTATGGATGGCCAATTTTAGTTACATCAATATTGACCCTAGGTTCAGTCAACTTATTTTTAATTATTGGAAACCCGGGGTCGCTAAATATACACGAATATTCATTATACTCTGGGAAGGTGATCAAAAGAGAAGATTAGCATAGTTTTTTACTGTGAAGCTCTGTTTTGGCACTTTGTAGCCGTTATCTCATTTAACCATCACAAAAACCCTGAGAAGTGGGCTTTATTCCTCTTTTACAGATTAGGAAGCTGAGGTCCAGAGAGGTTAAGTAACTTGTTCTGGGTCACATAGCAAATAAACTGGAGAGTTAGCGTTTAACCCAGGTTTGCTTGTCTCCATGCTCTATGCTCCTCCCGTCACCCTACTGCCTCCCTCAAGTACAAGTCGATTAGTCTTGCCTGTAGAAGTCTCTTGTGTACGTTCATATACATTCATACTTGTTTCACATGATTATCCTATTTCTATTTTCTGGATGTTCAACCATCTATGACAGTATAAAACGTCCCTCTGTCGTTTCCTTAGGTGGTCCCAAGAACCTGACGATGGACCCCATTCACATTAACATGTCCAGTGCTCCGCTGGTGAAGCACCCGGCTGGAGCTGGACTCAAGCCCAGCAGACCCCGGGTCATGTCCAAGAGTGGACACAGCAACGTGAGGATCGACAAAGTGGACGGCATCTACTTACTCTACCTTCAGGACTTGTGGACCACTGTTATCGACATGAAGTGGCGCTATAAGCTCACCCTGTTTGCTGCCACGTTCGTGATGACCTGGTTTCTTTTTGGAGTGATTTACTATGCCATCGCGTTCATTCACGGGGACTTAGAACCGAGTGAGCCCATTTCCAATCACACCCCTTGCATCATGAAAGTGGACTCTCTCACGGGAGCCTTTCTCTTCTCCCTGGAGTCCCAGACCACCATTGGCTATGGCGTTCGGTCCATTACGGAGGAATGCCCTCATGCCATTTTCCTCTTGGTTGCCCAGCTGGTCATCACGACCTTGATTGAGATCTTCATCACAGGCACCTTCCTGGCTAAAATTGCCAGACCCAAGAAGCGGGCAGAGACCATCAAGTTCAGCCACTGCGCTGTCATCACCAAACAGAATGGGAAGCTGTGCTTGGTGATTCAGGTGGCTAACATGAGGAAGAGCCTCCTGATTCAGTGCCAACTTTCTGGCAAGCTCCTCCAGACCCACGTCACCAAGGAGGGGGAGCGGATCCTCCTCAACCAAGCCACCGTCAAATTCCACGTGGACTCCTCTTCCGAGAGCCCCTTCCTCATCTTGCCCATGACCTTCTACCACGTGCTGGATGAGACGAGCCCCCTGAGAGACCTCACGCCCCAAAACCTGAAGGAGAAGGACTTTGAACTCGTGGTCCTCCTTAATGCCACCGTAGAATCCACCAGTGCTGTCTGCCAGAGCCGCACGTCCTACATCCCTGAGGAGATCTACTGGGGTTTTGAGTTTGTGCCCGTGGTTTCTCTCTCAAAAAATGGGAAGTATGTGGCTGATTTCAGTCAGTTCGAACAGATCCGGAAGAGCCCGGCTTGCACATTTTACTGCGCGGATTCTGAGAAGCAGAAACTTGAGGAGAAGTACAGGCAGGAGGATCAGAGGGAAAGAGAGCTAAGAACTCTTTTGTTACAACAGAGCAACGTCTGATGGCAGTGGTGTCGCCTCCATTTAACTAACTCTACGTGCTGTTTCCACATCTGTGCCCCCTTCAAACATAAAGGTCGCAGCGAAAACAAAAATGTGTGCAATTACTGTAAAAAACAGCACAGACATGCAAAATCGATCTTTTCCTTTGATGACCGTGGCTAAACAAGAATCTCCACGTTTGAGAGGGCTCCTTTGGTAAATGCTTTGTCTGAAGTGAACTCTCAAAATTCAAATTTTCTAAAATGGGGCTACACTTCAAAGAACTTGGTGTAGGGCAATTGCAAAAACGTCCTGCTGAATGGACAAATATTTAGCAATGCTGACATTGAAAGGCAGTGCATTTCTGTACAAGGATATCAGTGATATTATATAGTATTTATTCAGTCCAACTATCAAAGACGTTACGTCCGAGACTTGAAATGTGGTTCAGTATTCACTTACGCCAGTGCTTTAAACCACTTTTTTTCAAGTAGAGAAAATGTTACATATAATGAGACTACCTGGTCATGCAGAAAAAGGAGCTGGGGGACTCTGTGCTCATGAAATATAGTAATTCCATTTTTACCTCTTTTCAGTGGATTTAATTGTGCAGAGTGAAATCGATTAAGTCCGGAGTTCACAGTTGTGAAAACATATACAAGTGGAGCTGATGCTATTGTTCACACTAATTTTTTTGTTGGACTGTACTAGCCCCTTTTGACTCAAAACGTGGCTCACGGACCAGCCACCTCAGCCTCATCTAGGAGCTTATTAGCAATGTAGACTCCTTGGCCCCGCTTGGACTTAGAGAATCCGAGTCTATATCTTAACAAGACCCCAAGTGTTTTGTGTACAAATGAGAGTTTGAATAGCTCCTCTCTGGGCAGTGTTTTCAAAGTAACTTTGTGAACCCATGGGACTCTGTGGGTCCCATGTCCACGTGACCTCCAGACCTGTCCTTTCTTCGGTTCATTATAATGGACCAATATCCCTTTCAGCCATTTCATTCCTTATCTATCAAAATACCTTAGCCAGAAAGGAACTGCCACTGACATACCAAAGGCAAAGTAAAACTTGAGAATAACTGTTACCTCCCTCATGATAAGGACATGCTTATTGACTATAGCTCGCACAGAAGAAAATGTAAGCTGCGTAATAATCAGAAATATGCTCAGATGTTGAAATCTAGATGGCTGATGGGGACATGAGGAACAAGAGTTGCCGAGGATAAGTAATTCATACACAGATGACTCCTTCAAGCATGAACAAAATTTGATAATCTGATAACGTGTAAAGAATGCACCCAGTATTTAAATAAATCTCATGCAACTCGGTGTTACAGAGGTAACATTTTGCCTTCGGCAGAATTTAGGTACCCTGCATTCCTTTGGAACAGAGGGTAAATGGGCTAGGACTGGCTAACTATGCAAAAGGTGAATTCTCATTTCATTCAAACCAGGATGGACTTGCATATTGACTGGAAGGATGAGACTGTAACTGTGTAGTCGCCACGTGCACGTACGTAAGCCCACATATGTGTACACAGAGGCACACATGCCCTGGCTATTGAAGCATAACTGTGGAAATTATCAATGAAAGACATTTGCAATTAAGAGAGCAAATCCTCCACAAAAAAATGCTCACTTCTAATTTGTCCTATAGGGTTGGGAACACTGGGACTCGGAGAAAATGGTGAAAGTAATCTGGATTCAAATTACTGGTGAAATGATGTTGTGGGTGACAGCAAATCTGGCCATCTCTTGATGTTCCCACATTTTCAAATGTCATTCCATTAAACAGAAAATGTGGCTACAACCTCTGAGCTGGAACTAAACATCTAATGCATGGGTAAGAATAATGGGGGTAAAGTCATAAAGATTTAAAGAGCAGCAGCCTCAATGCACAAAAGGATTTTGTCCTTAATTATTCAGGAAGTATTTTTTTGTTTTTTTTCCTGTTGATAATTTCATGGCAGGTTGTTTTAGATCTTCATATTCCTAAAAATTACATGAGTGTAGTTAGAGATTAGCCCTTTTAGTTATCATATGTGTTTTTAATTGTATATCGTGGTATAATCAACGGGAAAATAATGCCACAGGCATGTTTACAGTTTTTCTGTTGCACTATTAAATTCTTTTCACAGTATTTACATCAATGTTAATATGAATGTGATCAAGATTAGGAATCTTGTATATTTACATTACACATGGTAAAATGATGTAGCATAGATTGAAAAATCTTTTTTTATGTTCACTTAGCATATCTATTTCAGCCAAATTTGGAAGACTTGATTATCTGATCTTTTGCACTACGTACAAAATCAATAGGCAGTGCCTTAAAAGCCAATATTTGTATAAGTCAATAAATCATATTGTAACATGATATTTAATAAACAGCTCTCAAGTTGTGGCTGGCTTGAATCCTATTAATTTCCAGGCACACTTACTTATTATTTGCACAAAATACTCTCGTGTTAACATGCTAACCAAGGATCCAGGTGGCAAACTGATTCTATTTGGACAGCCTTCTGACTGAAACAGATTCGTAAACAACACCCAATGAAGAAGAAGGCAAGCTAATGGAGTATTTTTGACCCCAAAGACTTTTGCATTTTGAAACATTTGCTATGCACCAGGCCTTCTCAGTGAGACCTCTCAGACATGCTAGGTTCCATTTGATAAACCACCAAGTAAACAGCAGCAAATCAGTGTGGTCCACAAGCCATGTCTTATTTCAGTAATAAAATATATTGTACTGAGATGGCACTCCGTAGCCACTGGCCCCAGAAACATTGCAAGTGTTCCCTCACTGGTTTTCACAGTGAGCCGTGTCTAGGGTGGGGGTGGAGTCACACATTGGTTCCCTTTCCTACTCATGGGGACACTACAACACAGAGAGGAGACTCCAGAAACTGAAAATCACTGATTAAAAAGTGAAAAATGCCATGAATGAGTAGAGCAGATAGTTAGATGAATTTAAACAGAGATTTTGTTTGATTTTTTCTCTGAATTAAATTTTCAGTGTTAATTGACTATGATTTTGATATCATCAAAATGCAAATTAAGGTATATAAAAATGTGACACTTCTATTCCAGTATGATTCTTTCTCCCTCTAATCCTCAGTACTCGTACATCATCTGGAGAAAAAAGAAAATAGAAAAGAAAAGAAAAGAAGGCACAAGGCACTGGCATTGGGAGCTCAGTAAAGCATCACCCTCTCCCTCGGGTTTGGTCCTGTATTTTGTCACGAGGATCAGAGTCAGACATTGGAGCATGTGGTGTCAGGGAGACTTCAGTCTCTCAGGCTTGGCTTTCATTCTTGCTAGACTTTCCCTTGCCTCTTATGCCTTTGAAGTAACTAGTTTTGTCTTGTTTTTGGTTTGTTTGTTTTTTTAATTTTTTATTGTTAGTTTCAGGTGTACAGAACAATGCAATAGTTATCCTTTTCACCCTCACAAAGTAACAACCCCCCACCTCCAATAACATGCTTATCTATTACAATTCCACTGACTCCATTCCCACACTCTATTCCACGTCCCATGACTATATGTATATATAATTATAGTTGACATACATTATTATTCAACATCAGTGAAGTAACTAGTTTTGAATGTAAGTTGCTTTATTGTAGCTTTCTGGGATGGGACTTTTTTTTTTTTTAATGAAAGGTATTTGCATTTCAAGTCTTGATGTCCAAGTTCTGTAGTGTGCACTCGATTTCCAGCACTTGAGTTTGGATAGGTCCAAGAGCCCTTAATTTTCTTCCCCTGGGAAGACTTGCACTTGAAGGTCCAAAGCTTAACAGTTCACTTCTAAGGAATTAACTATGTACACTGTGCCCTTTGTGAATTTCAGTTTATCTTTCATCATAATGACCCTCCAACCAGTCCTTGGGCCTGTGGACAGCACTGAGTGGTTTCTGCTCTCAGAGCAAAGTGCCTTCAGGACAGAGTCAAGAGCTTCCAGAGTTAGAATTTGCAATGAAATCGTAGGATTAGAACTTAATTGGGATTTTAAAGGATAAAGGACTTACTTCACTTCTTGAGGCGTTAGTATTTGTTAGTAAACTTCATTTTTATTGCTGCATTGTTTTGATTTCTTTGAAAAAGAATCTAAAACAAAATCTTTGTCTTCAGAGAAAGGAAGGCAGTGGGAAAAAGTGTAAAACATAAAAGCTAATAATTAATCAACTAGACTTTCACATAAAGGGCCTTCTCCTAGTGGAAAATAACTTCTTTGTGGGGGGAAAATTGGCCACTCCATCTTACATTACAACAGATTGTGTCATTATAGTCTTCTGGCTTCCCAGGAGAACCAATTTTCCTAGCCTTTAAGAAACACTGATGGATTGCATCCAACTTTTTCCCAAAGTTTTTCCACTAAACGCTTAATGAAAAGGAAACATGAGGCAGAAATAGAGCTGCAGCCATTTCATTTCGTCCTCATCCTCTGTCAGTTCTCCTGTGGCACTCAGTTTCCTTTGAACTTGATATGTGCTTAGTTGTCTGTTCTTCATCTCTGCAATCTATTCCATCAAGCCAAATAATCCTGTGGGTTAAAAATAATCCAAATTAGTAACTCGTGGACATTTAGATACCCCAAAACAGGAGACAGGAGTTTCTAATTCTTCAATTGGTAAGTTGCTGGTATGTAAAATTAGAAGACAAAAAAAAGCTATTGGGTAGAGTTGATGGTTAATTCCTCATAAAATTACAAGAATTGATGGCGGAAGTCAAAGGACATCATTGATACATCAGACTAAAAGCCAAAGATGTCCTATATGTATGTGAAGGCCATATAACTCTGAACATAACCCCAGAGCTGGCAATGCCAGACATGCTGTGTAGGCAGGACATGTCCTGTGTTTAGTGATTTTTGTCCTGCATTTGGTATGGACTTTATTAAGATGCCCTAAATACCCTGTATTCATTTTTATCAATAAATTACAAGATTGCATAGACAATTAGAATTTAAAAGATTCAAATTTAACTGGATGAGTTGAATATTTATTTGCTAACTCTGCCAACCTTACAGAGAGTATTCACATAATCTCAAACTGTGCCCCTTTCTAGAAGAGCAACACATAAATGTCCCTTTGTTTGGAAGCTATGGTTTTCATGTTTCTCTAGTAGTAGAGAAAGGGAGTATTCCAGGAAGATATTTTCTTGGATTGCCTGATTAGTAAAAGTAAATTTCAGCGGAACACAGAGGGCCTTTGATACATTCTGTGTAGTATGAAGCAACACACTCTTTGAGCCTGTCCATCAAGGAGAGACGGAATGATAGGCTCAAATGCCCCCTCCACACGGCATACAGGAGCCCTGATTCCCACCCCCTGTTGGAGAATCAGGCCAAGGGGTGTGTGTTCCTAGCCAGCACTAAATGGTCAAAGCCATGAAGGAGTGACGCCATGAAGGGGTCGACCTAAAAGTCCATCACAAGTGTGTTTAGCAGCTCCTACTTTATGATGTAGTACTTGACTTTGATCTTATCTTTATTCAAGGTTTATTCTTATCTAGTATCCATGCCTTCCCACCCTCTTAAGATATCCAATTTCACCCCTCAAAAATATCCAAGTTAAAGGTAGTGCCCACTCAAAATTAGAATACAAGGGAGCTGTCACTATTGATTATAGAGTACTTAGTACCTAAAAAAAAAAAAAAAAAAGGAAAAAGAAAAAATTATAAGTTGTTAATTTTGAGCTCAGACATGTGATCTCTTAGCTTTTTATTACTCTTCTTGTTACTATTGCAAATGTCCTTATATTCCAGAAAAAGTAAAGAGCTTCTAAGAAGGTGATTGGAGGGGAGTTCAAAGAAATGGTTTTTTGCATTCACTACAATTTGACTATAGTTTTTCATCTGCAATTAAGTCTTAAGATGAAGGATGTTGTATTAAAACCAATCATTGCAGGAAGTATGACTGTATCAGGGACTTTTTACAAAAACAAACTTCCATATCACAAGAGGAAGCTGTGTTTGTGTGCTGACAGAGTATTAAATAGCAGTCAGGAGAGGAAGGCAGGATAACAGCCAACTTGGATCTATTTTTGAAGAATTATTTCTGTAGGGTGTCATGGAATTGTCAGTTACAAAAAGAATGCTTTGGTAAACAGACATCTCAATTCCAAAAGGACCCAGTCCAAAATACCACTTAATGAAATTCACGGGAATGTTATGGAGATCAAAATCCCAAATCACATGCAGATTTTACAAGCAAACAGTCCCACTACTTGTAAATCCTGGCAGTTGTGCACTTACCAAAGTCTTGATCACGCCTCATTCAGTTTCTTGCCATATATAGCCCAACATCTGATTCCTATACTGTGCCACAAGATAAGCATCCTTGCTTTCCTCTGATTTTTAAACTAGTCTTGTACTTGGGTTTGCCCTAGCATAATAGTGACTCATGTTTGTCAAGGTTGAGCTACTATTTGGTACACGTTGGAAGTCTCACCCAAACTGATATGTGCATACTCTGTCACCACGGAGCCCAATCAGCTTTAAATATGTACTTTCACGTTCTGTAAATTCATATCTCTATTTGTCAAACCATTTCTTGTTTTTGTATGTCTCTCCATCACCTTTCTTTCACTATATATGGAATCACTCTAATCTGTGAAACAATAAAGCTAATTTTATAGTCTTGAGTCTTTTTTTTTATTTCATTGCAAAAGTGATGGTGGTGTTATAGTGCCCTAGGGATACGGATCTAGTATTTCCTTAGAGAGTTCAGAGATGAACTCATTCTAAATAACTGTTTCCAATGATGGTAACTGCAATAATTTGGGGGTGACTAGGTCTTAAAACTTGTTAAAATATTAGTTTCTATCAGTGCCTAAAAGACTGCTCCCTCTCTAATTTTGCTTCCTTTCTAATAAAAAATAAAATAAATAAATGACATCCCTGCTGCATCTTTTTCTTTTGCCCAGATGCTCTATCGATCATTTCATTTTAGTCAATGATTAAAGATCAAGTAATTATTTAACAACATCCCTTCAGCACCTCAGTCCTTACCAAAGTCTCTTACATTCCATTGCTTTTTTACTTTGATGGATTAAAAGAAAGAAATCACATAATTATATAAGCCTTAAAAACTAAAAGCACCAGTGTGGGAGTGATTATAAAGAAACACAATTTAAAATCCACACAGTAGAGAGATATGCAGCCAAGGACAGCCGTTGTCCTTGAAGCCCTTTCCTGGGGAAACCATCCACACACACACAAAGTGGCTGCCGTAGCTCCAAACCTCCTACCAGCATTTTTTATTGGAACCTGCTCTTTTGGAATCTTGACTCATTCATTGCAACCTTCTCAGTGGTGACAAGATGCTGTTCTGTGAGTGAGAATATGACAATTGGAAATAAAAAAGGCTGGTCATAGAGTAGGAAGTCAAATTTGAGGATGCTG